CTGAGATAAGCTGTCTGATTGTTTTTCTATGGTGAATGCGATATGCTTCCATATTAATGCAAATAAAAAGCGTTTTTTGTAAGGAAGCGGCTGACCTGCAGCTGCATCACGTTTGCTCAAGTGCAGCTTTTCTTCTTCTTCTTACACCTCGATAGAAACTTTAACCTGCTAGTTTCTGACTGATGGCGTTACAGGGTATATTTCTAGGTGTGATGCTACGTTTGTACATACTTATGCACTGTACATACGGTAAATAAGTGGATGCAAACCATGTTTGTAGGTGTTGTAGCCTTATGCATTTTGTAGTTTGCTGACCTGGCATGTTCCTCTTTCGGACAGAGTATAAAACTCTAACAGTTGTGCATCGCTGGTTTTCCTTCTAAACTCTCTTACTTAACATTGTGGTATTCTAATGGTGCAATATATGAGCTCTAGTTTTGTTCTCTGAAGCTTTGCAAAACGACTTTTATCTGTGGGAGAAATGCCCAGTGTTTGCTTTCTATTTTCTATATTTCTGGGTGAGGATTTGTAAAGTCAGTTTCCTCCACATTTCTTCCAGTGGTTGATTTTTTTTGGTAGATTTTCTCCTCTGTGCTTCCAGGATGATGCGCTACTAAGACTGCGTGGGGAATGAGAGGCCGGGCGGACCTGACTGTTGTCTTATGTGATGATTTAATTTGGTTTTTAGGACAAACGGTGACGGTTTGTAGCACGTTCAGCTGAAAAGCAATCCTACTTTGTTTGGTCTTTTTACTTTTCCTAACAAATCTTCTCAGTGTATTAAATTATGTAACATTAGTGCAACAGTAATAACAAAAGATATTTATGCTATGCTGAATTCTATCTTTTATGCATTCCTTTATTGCAGGCCTATTTTAGTAGGACAGAAATCCCCCAAAGACGCCATTTTGGGAGATAAAAACCAGCTGATCCTCCGTTACAACCATCAATGTGTTTGATTCAAAGTTTCTGGGATGAACCAACAGGAAGGACGCCTGTTTTAACACCATGCAGTCTGAAAAGTGCGGCATGTTTTTCTACTCCGCCTCCTGAGACGATCCTTTATAGAAGCTGAGTCATAAAATCCATTTTTAATCCTAAATGTTGGTCTGATGTGACCTGAACCCCCGTCTTCCATGTTTGATGCTGAAGGAGGTTTTCTACTAATTCATTTTAACAGAAACGAACGCATTAAATGCACCATGAGGTCCCCTTGGTGAGGAGTTTGTTGGGCTGCGGTTTGATTTAGATTATTCTATCAGAGTTTAGCGCTGCAGATATTTATGTGTAAAATACTTTCCTGATTTACTTTTCTTAGCGCAGATAAAGACGCCCTTCTTTCTTTTCTTTTTTTTTTTTGTATACCTGAAGTCCTGATAAAAGGAGCTTTAATGAGGTTTAATTATAAAATGAGACTAAATATGAAAAACACTAAAGCTTTGGAAAAAGGGCTGAAACAATTAATTTCATTAATCAATTATTGAAACAGTCATCAAATAATTAGAACTCTATCATTAACTGGAGTATAGAGACTCTAAGAAATGCCTTAAGCTGACAGAGCGGCCCAATTAGAGCAGGAATTATACCAAAAATGTGAAAAAATATAGAAATATTTTACATTTAAGATAAAAAAATATATATTTTTCCACTGTCAGTCTGCTCTATCCAGAACCCCTAAAGTGGAAAAGATTTAGTTTAACCTGTTTTAATTTAGTAAAAAGTATTTGGCTATCTGATTATTTATCAATTAATTGAAAAATTAATCGACAGATGAATCTATTTTCCAAATAACGTTTAGTTGCAGCCCTAATTAGTTGTTTTTTCAGAGCGCAGTAAAGACACTTCAAATTTTACGTTCATATTTTCTGCTCATAATTTATGCATAAATTAAAATAACTAAATCAAGACATTATTTTTTAATAAATGTGGTTGGGCAGCCCTCAAAGTCCTCATCATGTGTTAGCTATAATCTCCCAGCAGGGGGCGACCTTTCCCAGCTTCAGCTCAGAGACAATCAGTTCAGTTGACTGGAGCTGCTCCCTGATTGGATAAAACAAACTAATCTGTGTTTTCCCTTCCTGTCAATCAGCCAAAGATCTTTATTTATGAGAAATGACGTCATATTGCAGGAGATGGTTTCAGTAGTTAACTAAACAATGAATTTGCACATATTATTGATAAAATGTCTCCTTCAGATCCCAACCTTCTGTTGGTTTATTCTCTCCAACCCTGGCATCATGGCGGCCCTCTGCCTGCTCAGACCAGAAAGCTCCTCCCCTTCCTGTTCACTAGTGGGAGTGGCCTCGTGCCTCCCAGGCTGTGTTTCCCACTGGTCTGTAAATAATGCTGCAAACTGCCTGGTTTTAACAAACCCACACAGATCCAGAAAAAGATGCTGTGTTTCCCTAAAGGAGAAGTTTCATTTGTTTACATTATGTTTACAACGGCACAGGTTTCCTTTTTAAGACTATATATGTAGCTACAGACATATTTGCATATTTATTGCCTAAGGTTTTAATGATATAACACGTATTGTGTTTTCACAGTTGGAATATAATGTTACAGTTCTCACCTGTATTACTATCTGGATGATTTTGGTAAAGTAGTTGATCATTTCTATGACTACTATAAGTGACTGTTTTCTGTGCCTTTTTATGGTTAGAATGCATGATTACCTATTTATTACCATTTGGAGTCACTGAGATGTGTATTTTTGTATTGGGAATTAATAAATGATTCAGCCCTTGTTGTATATTTTAGGGTGCCTTGAAACAGGCTACTTGTTCATATTTCTCTTTTCAATAAAACCAAATATATATGCACCATGTTTTTTCTGTCTTCTTCTGTACCATTACCATTAGGCAATACTAAGCAGTTCCTGGGGG